ACGTTTCTGGAATATTTTTTTACCATCTATTTGGTTTCCCTCACACCAAATTCAGGCAGCCTCCTGGTGACCTGCTGATCTTACCAGCCCCCAGTCTGCCATCTCAGCTTCACTCAGCCCTGAGTCTGGGTCACTCACCTCGCTCGCCAACGCTAGCCTGGCCAGCATTGGGGGGGGCGCTGTGGGTACAGATCCAGATCTGGATCCCAAAAGGCCGCAGGCTCTGAGAGCTCATTGACACGCACAGCTGTATCAAAGGGGTAAGCCTCTTAGACCATTAGACGATCTGCTATGTAGTAATCGGATGTGTTTACAGGCTGCGGAGGGCAGCATGCCAGTGGGTGCCTTCCTTTAATGAGGGTGCTGAGGTCTTTTTGCTCACAGCTGCATGCCTTGGCTCTGTTTCCCACCATCAGCATCGCCGCACGCTCGCATTAATGTCACAGGAAGGACATTCCTCCTTTTTCTTAACTGTCTTATGGTACAGGGCCTAAGTTAGATGATGAAGTCACTCTGTTTATGTGCTGTTTACATCCCGGTGCCCTGTTTGGCACGGGGGGGAGGGGGGGGGTCTCGTCCAGTGCCTAAGTGTGGTAGGGCAGAGTAATGAATGAGTGTCACTGGGACACCCCCAGTGTCTTTGATCAATGACAGGGGAACCTCCCTTTCCCCCAACCGTGGCACCAGCATAGCCACATCTCGCTTTTCAGCTAAATAAGCCAACCAATGGGTATGTGGAGGGGTACAGAAATTGCCCTATTGGATTACGGGAGCCGGAGGCGTGTTGTCAAGGTGACAGATTCCATCTCTTGGGGAAGAATCCTGGGCCCTTTGTTCTTGGAGAGACCAAACCATTCTCAGGGCGGGAATGAGTGTACAGACTGTGAAACGGCGCAAGGGCGCATCTGATTTATATTTTGTGGGGGGGGGTGGGTGCTGTTAAACTCCGCCTCCAGCGGCTTCTGCAAGACTCGGATCCGCGAACCCGAAAGTCCTCCCGTGTGACTCTGTTTTCCACTCCTTCTAGGAATACGTGGAGCTCCTGGCCGCGCTTGCTAAAATTTGCTAACCAAAGCACGAAATTATTAAACTGGGCTATGCCAATAAATATTAATTCACTGATTGACTGAATCTAGGCTTATTAGTCAGCCTGTCTAGGAGTTTAATGAGAAATAGCTAATGTATTTAGCCTCACGGCAAACGCTTCCATACGGCTCGTATCTCTGCTCCTCCCGCTCTGCCCTACAAAAGACTGATTAGGTACTTCGATGAATGAACAGAGCCCATTTGCTGTGATTTGCTGTGTGCTTCCTGCCACGGTGATGGAGGGAATTTTATTTTTTTTTTTACCTAAAGCAAAATGTTCTGCTCAAAAAAGGAAGGTCTGGGCAAAAATTGTAGGGATTAGATGTAATGAATGAATCTCAATGTGATGTTATCTGTATTATAATGGATTATTCTCAGTGTTGAAGGTTTATTGAATTCATATGCTAAAATGGTTCGGGGGTGTTTTCATGGAATGACTGCATGGTGTGCAGTGTTGGCTTTTAAGAATTGTAGAATGCAACTTTAAGAAACCACTTTCATTTTTCTTCTGGCGAGGGGGACATTTCAGATAAGGGGGGGGACTGGATTTGGACCCACCGTACGACTGTCTGGTAAGGTGAAGTGGCATCCTCACCCTCATACCTGTGGGGGCCATTATTATATTCTGACACTTTATGTGTGAGGGAAGTGTGGGTCTGACCTCCTTCAGACTGCCCTTCCAGCCTCATTTCCTCTCTAAGTGGAGATGTTTCTGACATCAGTTCCTCACTGCAGAATGTAGCACAACAACAGAGCAATGAAGTAGCACCTTCAGTCTCCCTGGTGACACCTCTCGAAGGACTATTCCACAAAATTTGTTTTTTAATATTTTAGTGGCAAAGAATCCCAAGTTGGCTCATCTGTCGTGATGATTTGGGACCAGCTGGAGCTCAGACTTGTACACAGCTGTACAAAATCAAGTAGGAATATGCTGGTATTTTTCAGTGTTTGGGGGTGTCCCCCGTTGGGGCTGAACTAAGCTACTTGCATGTGATGTGTCAAAGCAGTTTCATGGTGTACATGATGAGCAATGACCCTCCAGTGTAGCTTTAGCGCTTCAGTCAAGCGCAGAGGGACTTCTGAGACATCTGGAACAGACGATTGTCTGGATCACACAGACGGCACAACGCTGTCTCTCTTCTCAAAGACAGCTTTGGATGAACAACAAAAGGACATAATCCTCTGTGATCTTCTTTGGCGGTAGGAATTCCATCACATCCCAGATTACAGACAACACCATCCTCACCTGTTCTCCCAGTGATTTATGACTCACTCCTGTGCCGGTGGAGTGGAGCAGAGTGTTCTGGGTTTCTGTGAGTGTGTCGGGGACCGGAAGGCCGGGTTGACGTCCTTCAGCGAGACACCTTGCGGCGTCCTTAATGGCTTCCGCTGTCCTTCAGCCAGCCATGTGTTTCCTGGAACCTCCTCTCACCCGGCTCTCTGTCCCCCTGCCATGTGACGTCTTCATCCCCCTAATTAAGCCTTCGGATATTCAGCCTGCGTAATGATGTTTAAACTTTTGACATTTATTTTCGGCTAGTGTTTAAATTTAGATGGCGTTCGCGCTGCAGGAAAAGGTTGCGATGGCTTTTTAATAGCAAAAATTAGCATTTCACCGCTTATGCAAGAAACGCTTCAGACTTTAACGAGGTTGTGTGGGCAAACTATTACAGAAAATGTTAAATCAATAATGTAATGTTGACCTGTGACGGTAGAGCGCTGGATTAAACACGCATTTAAGAGGCAGCGTCTTATGACAGAAGCCTGATGTTTCATGGCACATCCGATTGGGGACAGGTGAGCTCTGTAAGGCGAGCTGCTTCTGGCTCTTCGCAGTCTTCCTGCCTCATCCTGGCTGTCAAATCCGAAGGCGGTTGTTTGGATCCGTCCACCAGGTGCTTCCGCTCCAATCTCAAATTGCAAGAGAGGGGAAAGCTATACGACCACGCAGAGAAAGTTGCTACTCGGGCCAGGCACATGCAGGAGCCAGTGGACTCCCAAGAAACATGACACAGGAACCTTGCGGAGAACTCCAGAGCATTAAAAAAACGCCTGAGCATTTGTGGTTGGGTTCCACTGTGATGGTCATGCTTGATCCACCATGGTCATGTCTGGATTGTTACTTAATTTTTGTCTCCTTATAAGTCTAATCAGCAGGCAGGAATGTCGTCACGTAACTTCTGGTTCCTCAGACCCATCATTCCCGAATGGACTGCGTAGAACGTCGATAGTGCCAAGCAGCGATTGGTCCGTGATTCTTCTCAGACACCGTTTGCCCACAGCAGAACTAAAACTGCATGTGATAAAGAAACAGTTCAGCCCCTGAAAATCTCCTAATACTAGACAGGCCTGCACAGGCCGCTTGCAGCTTGATGGTGGATGAGCTGTTCCTCTGCCCAGAAGGTTGCAGGTTCACATCCCCCAGGTGAGGCTGCATGGGTGATATTGCAGCTGCGGTGAATCACAAATCTCTCGGATCTGCCCATTAAATAACTGGAAAAAAAATTTAAATCCTGCACTGCATGTTTGCAATAAGTGAGGGTGTGCTTGCAACAAATTGCCATATTATATGATAATTTAACGGATTATCCCCACAAATCCCCGCTAATTAAGCTGCTGTTAATTGCATGATGAAAGCTGTTCTAGCTTTTGTATTGCTGATACGTTCCTGCAGCTGGCGACAGATGTCCTCATCACTATGGATACGCAGGACGAGGACATTGGATGCTGCGATGGAGGTTGTCCTCCACTGGGGAACTCCACGGGACTTTAGAACACATACCCTGGGGGTCAGGGGGCATTGGGCATGAGATATGTCCTTGCATGCTATTTAGGAAACCTTGTGCCAATCAGGAATGACAGGTTGAAGGGCTCTTAAAGCCCTGATCAGCTGATCAATTAGTCATGTGATCTTTAATACGAAATGCAGAACACTAGGACAGTGATAGTGATCAGTATGTCAACTGACAGAATTAAGCCGTGATGCACCTGTTCTCCAGTCTACCAACCCCCACCCTGCAGCCCTGCCGTGCTGAGAGAGGTTCCTGTGCAGGAAATGTTGCTCTGGACACACCAGAACGTGCCTGATGTTGTAATGCGGGGCGAGTCGACCGCCTGGGCTTCAGCTTCCAATACGTTTGGATCCTGCCAACAGCAAAGGAGAAACGATGCGAATGTGTCCAAAATCAATAAGAGGGGGTTGAACCTAAGGGAGAGGGGGTGGACAGGGAGGGGTGGGGGCGTGTCTGAAACGTGTCTTTCCTGAATTGTGATAGGTCAATTCAAGGCAGTAGGCGATACAGCAGTTTAGGAATTTTCATGCGACTGGATGGGTGCCAGATCAAGTCCCGGGAGAGAATGCTGTTGTACCCTTGAGTGAGGTGGAAAAGCTGAACAGCTCCATTAAATGACACCCATCTGTATAAACAAATAATGGAAAGGATGTAGTTTGAGCCGACGTTAAGCCTCTTTGGCAAAATCGCTTCTGATGTTCTCTTCCTGCTAATACCTACCCGGTCAGTCTATTTTGCTTTGGACGGAGCCCCAGTACAGACAAAGCCCTTTGTTCTATCATACATCCTGCTTTTAAATATTTGTATAACATACTGTGGGGCCATGGTGGGGGCTGGAACCGTCCACGGTGGCATAGAGCACTGCTCTGTTATCACCTCCTATTTTAGTTTCTTTCTTTTTCTTCTATTAATTTGTCTGTAAAGCACTTTGTAAGCCCTGCAGTTAATATAGTGCTATATAAATAAACGATCGACTGATTCATTGATTGATCCTGGATGGCGTGCCATTCCATCACAGGCTGCATGCCGACACCCCGTCACACACTCCGGGCTATTGAGAGACACCAGTTCACCTGTCTGCATGTCTCCAGGCTGCCGGAGGGGCCCAGTGTGGCAGACGGAGAACTCGCAGGGGAGGGGCCACGTTCGGGAGGGTGTCCCTCCCAGGGCGAGGCTCAGCTATCGCCCTCCGGCTGTATTGACTCCTGCAAATCCCCCAAACATAACAATCGAAAGTGCATAATTTCTGCTAGTGCAAGTGGAGGAGCTGGGAGCTCCCATCCCTCGGCCGACTCTCTTGGTATCCTTGTTCATCCCCCGCATTCCGGACTGGCAGAGAGAGCGGCGCGTTCCCATAATCCTAACGAAGCTCTTTGCAAGCTCTAATTGGCACAGAAGCGGTTTTGGCAGTCAGAGGTCAGGGCCAGACTGGCGCGCTCGTAAAATAACATTTAGCTTGGAACCATACCCAACGCGTCTCTCCCCTAATAAAGCCAGAAACATCCCGAGCTCCGATTAACTTCAGACTGTTGCCAGCCAAGGTATAGACTGTGTGTACTGGGATCCCAGAGCTGCAGCGCCACCTGCAGCTGGTGACGCATCATGTCACGGAGCGAGGCTGCAATCTAAACTCAGGGTGTGTGTTCGAATCCCAACTAGGGCTGATTTTCTACGAACAACTGAGACTGGCAGCAAACGCATTATGCTTGTGGCTATAAGGCTTTACCCGGCTTATTTCTTACCAGGGCTCAGCTGTTGGACCTTTTAATGAAGGCAAAAATGTCATTTCTTGCAGCGGAACTGGGAAAATTGTTAAAAAAAATAAAAGTATTCTATTTGAGTGATCCAGAGTAAGGTGCACTCGGATCGGCTGAATGCAACAAGAGGTATCAGCGTGTAAAACGTAAATGACAGGTTGTTACAGATGCCCCTGTAATGCGGCATCATTCTTGCAGGAGACTGATTCATTATGTCTTGGCCGCCTCCTGAACAGCACTGATTGTCAGGCTCTGTAATCAGCAGCTCGGTGCGCAGACATAATGAAGGTCGTACTGGCAGATCGAACACATCCTAAGAGGGGCACGGTGGGGCCTCGGTTGGGCGCTTCACTCCGTCACGCTCACAGGGTGATACCATGAGGTGGAGAGGTACAGCCCCACCACCGTCAAAGTCACCCTGCTCCAGAGCGCCCCCTTCCTGATGAGACGACATGGCAGGTAAACTGGCCTGTGCCCAGAACAGCCATGAAATCCACAGCAGATTGGATTCTCCTTGTCCTCCTGGGAATGTGTGTGTTTGTGTGTGTGTGTGTGTGTGTGTCTGCCTTAGCGGAATGCAACACACTGCGCACAAACAGATAAACACACAGGACAGCAGATCATATGCAGACACTCATTTCCGCTACCAGCATGTTCTGTTGCATATTGATTAATTTTGTACACTTAGCACGTAGCGGAGCAAACGAATTCATTTAGTCTACGAGCCCCAGGAGCACATGATAATCGAACACACGTGCATCCGTAAGATAGCAAGGGAAACTCTGTTTATGGCTAGAACGTGAATTAAGCAGATTTTATTGGGAAAAATGGCATTGCGGAAGCGTCAGTTCTGCGGGTTGGCGTGAAAGTGCCGCATTTGCGGTGAGGGACCTGCGAGTTGTTATTCATATGGAAACGGGGTCTGGCGGAACAATCTGGAAGGTGCTGATTCCACAGAAAGCCGCAAGCTGCAGCAGGCATTGGGGGAGGGGGGGGAGTTGAGGTTGTCGCTTAACCCCTCTCCCCCAGAGCTGGAAAGTGGGTGTCAGCCCCCAGTCCCTTTAGCACTAGCGGGTAGCTACAGAACGAGCACAGTGTACCGGCAGCCAGACATTAACGTGACACAAAGATGGTGTTTACCCTTGATTGCATCTTAAGCTAATTAAATCAACAGGCCACTGTGCCCTCAGCTGAAGTGGGGGAGTCATTTGCACAGGCCTGTCCTCATCGGCAGCACATGGCAGCCCAGGGAGCCCTGAGGTTTTCCGTTAACTGCTTAACCTTCCAGGTCGGTGCCAAGTGGAAACCAGAGTTTAGCCTGTCGCTGCATGCGACCTGCCTTCTGGATCGATAACCCTGGTGGCATAAATGGGTTACCTGCACTAGTCTCACTTCCCCCACCAACCGATCCTCGCTCGCCCCTGATTGGCAGGTACACTGGGGCGCCCCGAGGCTGGAAGCTGATGGTTAGGTCAGCAGGCATTTCATTGCATTAAACTTTAATTATTCTTTGATTTAGGTGTAATCTCCTGGTTAAATGTGCTTTGATTGTGAGTGGGGCTGAGAGACTAATAAATGAGTGTCAAGCCAGGACAGATCACTTGGCTTTTATTTTTTTTAACAGCCCCAGAGTGTCTTTCATGCGTGTGGGGGTTGGGGGGGAGGCTGATGCACTTAATACAATGGTCTGAGGCTGGGTGTGGCTTTGGAGTAGTGACGATGTAGAGGGTGGGACCGGGGACTGCTGTTAGGATTGAGATTGGATAAGAGCAGTTTGGGGCCGGCTCACAGTCTGGACCAGGGTCCACGGTGATCCTAGGGCACCTTTACCTGAAACAGGGTCATCCCTGTATCACCTCCTCACTTACAGAGCAAACTGCACCAGAGGGAACCTCCTGTCCTTCCTTTCTTGCACGTCTCAGAACAAGCCATCACCTCCAGTTTGATGAGGAACCTGCAGGAGACTCCTGCAGAACAGCCCCCTCTACTTAGGTGTGCAAAGATGTGAGTTTCACTGGGCCATGCAGCTCTCCTCTGTTTTAGCCAGTGTAGTTCAGATACTCTGTACTATTAATCGAAGCTGGGGGGTCCATTTGGGATATTAACATTAATTACCATAAAATGCGAACTTGAAAATGCGTGTTTCTGTGAGCTGTGTTGATTCTGTGTATCGCTGGGTGTCAGTGTTCATTCTGGATGTCATTGTGAATGTGTGTTGATTCTGCATGGTGCAGGGTGTCAGTGTTCATCCTTGGTGTTGTTGGGTGTCAGTGTAGATTCTGTGTGTCACTGGGTGTCTGTTGATTCTGCATTTCACTGGATATCAGTGTTCATTCTGTCTGTATATTAATGATGATTTAAGGCCTCTCTGTCTCTGCATTAACACATCAACACTGTCTGTTAGGGTCTTTGTTTGAAAAACTTCTATGTGGAAATGTCTGTGCTTTTAGGGCATATATATACATAATAAAAGACGGGATACAGGCAATAAAATCCAGATATAAACCTCAAGCCCAGATCAGTCATCCCTCAGACTGAGCATATAAAGATCTGTGTTATTGGAAAGAGTGGTAGCAGGTGTGTGTGTGTATGTAATTATTACATTGCGGGGACCAGATTTCCCCACAATGTGATAACAGCAAGTAATGTTTTACCTTGCTGGGGACATTTTTTCGGCCCCCACAAGGACAAACTCAATTTTATGAAGATCTAAAAATGCAATCAAACAACTAAAAATGGCAAAAGTCTTGTATTTTGGTTACATATACTTAAGGTTAGGGCTGGGTAGGGGTTAGGGTTGGGGTTAGGGCTGGGTTAGGGGTTAAGGTCGTCATATTTTGGATGAGGGTTATGTCCATAGAAATGAATGGAGAATTCCCATAAAGGTATGAATACGTGGACTGTGCATGTGTGTCTGTGTGTCATCATAGCAGTGCATGATGGGATATGTGAATTCCAAAGAATTCATATTCTTACCACTGCTTATACAAATGGCAAATAAAATAGTATAAAAAAGTTGCCATATTGGAGAATAATTATTTTTCAGTGTTGGTGGCACAGCGAGGCTGTGAGCAGCAGTGTCTCCTCCAGTGTTTCCTCCAGTGTCTCCTCATAGTTCCAAGGCTGGGGCTTTAAATCTGGCCCCCACTGTGTGTAGAATGTGCTTTTTGTCCCTGTTATATAAGTTTTTTCCAGATACTCCAGGTTCCTTGTTTCAACCCAAAGAGATGCAGCTAGATAAACTGGCATCGCTAAATAGCCTGGAGTATGCTTGCCTGTATGTGTCCTGTATGCGTCCCTGTATGTGACCCCAACTGTAACCCTTTGCTCTCCCCCCCCGATGATCCTGTACTGGATAATTGTTTGTAAGATGGATCGATGTAAAAATATCCGAAACACCACAGAGTTCAGGAAGTAGAATGTTCCTGCACATGACTGAGAACTGAGAAGGCCTTGACTACATCACAAATATATGTTTTTATTTGATTACTAGTTGAAGTTGATGAAGTGGCAAATGTCAGATGAGTTTTATGTACAGTAATGCCACCTTTTTGTGTAATCAGGGCTATAGGTTCAGTACCGCATCAAGTACATGTGTATATACAGCAGCAAAAAGTTCAATATATAATATGTGCTACATTCTGGATGATGACTGTCTGTGAATAAGGTTGGCCTTGTAGGAGGCTCTAAGGGCTCAAGGAGTTAACCTGTCAGCCGTTTCGTTAAGTTGCCCCCCCATCCCCCACCCCCCCACGAAAACCAGGTCGTGTCATCGTGTTTACCTGCGGTCCCGTATAAGCATTCATGGGAAAATCCATAATTTTTCATTTCCTCGTTACTTACTCATACATCAGTGTGAGCCAAGCAGCGCACCTTTTTCAAAGGACGATGATTAAATTATCTTCAGGCGTTGCTTAGCAACCAGTGCTACCTCTTTCCTGCTCGTTTTTTCTGCCGGTAATACAAATTGTGCTTTTCAATTACTTTAAACGATGGCATTGTACTGCTCTTGCGTCTTGCGTTTCTGTGTGAATTATTAGCTATGAAATGCAGTGCGAGAGGATATTAAATCGGAAAAATATCATGTCCCAAGATGCAAGTGCGTGGTGCTTCTGGGGAGGATGATTCTGCATGGAGGGGAGGCTTTCCTGGCAGGGATTCGGGTCGCTGGTACCACCCAGCCAAGGTCAACCCATTTTGGGGGGGGGTCCCCTCGTCGCATGACGTCAGGTGACACCTAGGTCCATATGGTGTGCCTGACCATTGCCCTTGACCTCGCCTGGCTGTCATCAGTGTAGTTTGGGAGGCCGTTTTGGCAGAAATGAGCTGGTGGGGCTCCCCCCCCTCCCGGCCCCCTGCCCTCACGCATTGCATTTTTATATGTATTAGTTTGCCTTTGCACTTTGCCTGTACTTTTAATCACTCAGTATTGCAGAAGGACATTGGCAGCAGTGGGAATTTCAGGTCCAGAAACTACAAATCCAGACCAAGATTTTGTTTCTACCTATCTGTTGAGTATAAGGAGTCACGG